ATAAAAGGTGGTAAGTATAACCAAGTTTTCCATATTGCAAATAGGCATAGTGAGCTTAAAGATGTATCTTATTTAAAAGAGGATTTCGCATCAAAAATAAAAATAGGATTTAAGGATTCCTGCTTTTTGGTTAATGATGGTGTTGTATATATTAGTGAAGAAATATCTGATGGAGGTTTCATATGCTGGTTTTATAATGATTTACATTTCGAATCCTTTTTCCATTGTTTTATTATTTCAAAAGAATTAAACATTTATAGCGCTAAAAAAAATACCTACTTTATTTATTGAAGAAAGCAGAAATCAGACATGATTAGAAAATGTGCGAGTTTACCATACAAGAGTGGTTACATTGTAATTCTTTGTTTAGAAGATCTTTAAATTAGTTTTAACAATTTCGGCTGTTTATTTTGTCTATATTGTGTATATTGTAATCTTATTCAAGATTTTTGTACGTCTATTTTTAGAAAAATTTAAATAAATAAAAGAATAAGAGTCAACAATAATAATTATTGTATAATGTTAAAAACAAATATTTATTAGAAAAACATTTATATATATATATTTATCTATTTTTTAAGTGGATTTATACTGGTTATGCATCTGACCTTATTACTTATAGGATTAATTTTCCATTGATTTTATTCAAACTTAAAATCAAACAATAGTTCAATGTTTTTTATATAATAATTATGGAATAATTCTGATAGAACTGGCAAATAAGTTAGAATTAATAGCTATTTATTTATAGTATTTATATAATTTATGACAAATAAATATACCACTAAGTTATTTATAGTTGATAAAAAATACTTCTTGATAGCTTCAAGAAAGTTATCATGAAGTCAGGGGTGTGTCTTCAAGGTTGACCATTGGCACTGGGCAACTCGTTCTCTCTAAGGGTTGATAACATTTAGAATGAAATGCCTCTTGGTAGCTCCGCAGGACAACCAGACAGTTTTTTACTTACAAAAGAGTGTTTATTGATTAAACCATATTTTGAATTATGAAGATTTTATACCTTGTGATTATTTAAAATAAACCTTTAAAAAAGCAATCAAATTGCTTTTACAGTAGGTTTAATAGTTTTACACTAGAATAAAAAATAATAGTGCATTATGTAATTTCGCTAAATGATATAAAGAAGTTAGCTTGAATTAAATTAGACATGCACATACTTTTTTTATGTTTCAAAGTGTGACATTGCACTTTTTTCAAACGTTAAAGTTACCGAACTACTGATTATTATAGTGTACGACTCAAGTAAGATAAAAAATATGGTTCAGTCGCCTACAGTGCAACTGGGAAATAATCAAAGGTAACACCACTGGAAGTTATCTCATTTTTGTTAATAACAAAGCTATTTAATGTGAATATGTTACTAATTCTTTTATATTTGATTAACTTAATAATAAAATGTTTTTCTCTCTTTTTTTATATGAAACAATACTAAGCATGTTTTTGACTATTTACGAATGTTGTTGTTTTATTTACTGAAATAATTTTTAGTCAACTTTCGTCAGCGTGGTTATTATTCAAAACAAGGAAGTAGTCACAACTGTCGCATCGTGTCCATGGGTGGATTTAAAAAATATGATCTTGTACTGGCCACCAAAACACAAAGTGTTAAGTTTTTATATTTCTTGATATCTGCTCCTGTGAGCAACTGAACAAATTTTGTTATAATAAAAGTTTTATCAGAATCCGGGCTAAAATCAGTGGCACAAGATATAAAAAGTTTTCTTTCGACTTCAGAGAATGAAACAGAAGTTGACTCTGAAAAAAGTGACTCAGAAATTGAAGAGAAAAGTGGTTCGTTTATTTAATTGATTTTTCTGATTTTTATGTTTCTAAATTTACTAATTAACTAAGTTCCATATTGCATTAAAAATTTTGAAATGTTGGTCAAAACTACTGCCCTACATTATTCGACATGTAAAAATTATTACTATTTAGTTTTTTTATAAAATTTTATAAAATGCTAACTTGTCTGTTTTTTTATAAATTTTCTTAATAAAAAACAGACGAGTTGCCATTTTTTTATTTTAATTTTTGTAATTGTGGTCATAACCCTGTTATAACTTTTTAACTCCAAAATGAACTAAGACAGCGTCATAAGACCAGAAAAATATATAACATTATTAATGTTGTTGCGAGAGCATTTTGTTTTTAATTTTGTTAACAAAATAAAATATAACTTAATGCATTTTTTTAGTTTACTTTTATAAAACTGTATTAAGATAAACGTGTTGCAAGTCCTGTTTTAAAACGCAAGCGCTTAATGCCCCTAATACAAAAAGAATGTACCTTTATTTCCACAACTGAAAACCTCCTCCATACACCAAAAATTAGCTCAAAATGTGAAAAATTAGATTGTCTTATTTTGATTACTTTAAACAAACTGTTTGTAATCTACAGCCTGAAACTCATTTTTAGTTTTTTTAATTTTTTTTGTCAAGTTTTAATTAATTTGTTCCAATATATAAATATTTTTTAATATTTATTTTACAAACCAATTCTAAAAAGTTGTTTTCAATATGTCGATAACCGACAAGAGAGCAATAAATCTGATAATATCAAAAAAAAATACCTGCAGGAAATTTAATACATACACTGATGGTGGTATCTCTTTCAAAGAGATGTTAACGAAACTTAATAATTTTATTATGTATTAATAATTACTAACTTATTATATATATTTATTAATAATAATTTTTTGATTGTTTTATGTATGTAATGTTTGTTTACTTCAGGTTGCTAATAGACATGATGTAGAATAGGCAAACTAGATATTGTCTGGGGTCTTAATGGTATTAAAAAAAAATAATAAACACTGAGAAAATAATTTCAGTTGATTAGTATTTCAATATCTTGCAGCTACATCCTCTAAACAATTTTCCTGCAATTTCTGCTACCCTATAATAAACCCTATAATAAACTTCGAATCTATAAAGCATACCTTTTATAGATTTGAAAGTCCTCCAGATTTTATTTACCTTATAATAATGTCTTTGATCATGGTATGATCAAAGGCATCATTAACCTAATACTTTAGTTCCTTTATTCATGGAGCTAACGTATTCGGTTATTTTTTTAAAGTTTATTTTCTTATAGAATTTCACACTGTGGTTATGCGGCGAGCAAAATTAGATGAAAATCAAAAATACATTTCTGAAACACTTAGATTGCTTCAAGATAATGATATGGCGATCAATAATAATTCAGGCAGTTTAGAAGTGCTTCGAAGCATTGAAGAATTTGATGCAGAGGAGAATAAACTCAAAAACAATGCATATCTTCAAAAGAAAGGTTATTTTAAACACTTACATACAAATACAGTTATTTTAAATACTTGCAGATTTATAAATTTTTATACTAGTTCATTTAATAGTTTAAGATTAAAATAATAAGATTAAGATTCACTAATTATTTTAAGTAGCAAGCTTAACTGAAACATTTTCAAAAAATAAACTTTATTATCTACGAATAGCTTCTAAAACAAGAGGAAAAACATTTTAAATTTTTGATTCAATATATTGATTTATTTTTTTAATTGCCTAATTTCTTTAGAAAAACCAGGTAAAAGAAATTGTCGGAAAAGACGCAAGAACAGCAGTAAGGCTTGCTCTCGATGCAATAATGTCACGAGAAATACAGGATAGCTTTAGTCTGTATGGTTTAAACAACAAGCAGTCTTTTTCAAAAATACTTCTTAATATGTTTTCAACAGGTATGTGAATGTAATAGTTATAATGTTTGTTTAAAATATTTTTGAGCATAACTAATGCTACCAATATTTTAAGGTTAAGGCCAGTCTTTCCATTATGCTTCTACTTAAAAAAATGTTATCAGCCATCATAGCGCAAGACAATTATTAGCGATATATCAAAAGGCGTGCTTAATCACTTTAAATGCTATTTAAATTCAGTTTTTTGTAGCTTTAGAAAGCTAAATATATTTTTACTGACATAATACAAAAACTAATGTTTGTATTTAGATCTGTAATTTAGTAGCTTCGTCGTTTCTTTTTTTTTTGTGACTATTTTTTTGAATATTTTGTGTCGTATGTGCTCTACTTAATAGCAGCAAGGAAGATTATCGTAAAAATCGCTCATATAATCACATTAGTGATAGACGTCCGGAACCTGTTGATATATAATAGATAAATTGGTCTTCTCATATAAAATTCGTTCGTTCTTTGTGGCTTCACATCAGACGAGCAAGATTATTTATGATTGCTTTGTTTTTTGATATTGTAAATACGTTTTTCAAATTCATAACACAACTAACATAATCTAAAACAATTCTTTATAAAAATGAATGTTTTGTATAAATGTAGCATTATATATTATTATATTATATTTAGCGTTGTAAGGTTATATATAGTTAAAATATTTAATACTGGATTATAATTAATAATACTTTTATAAAATTAGGACTTATAACTCATTAAGTCTTGTAACTGAAAAGGCATGGGTTATCACTTATGTAATTATACTCTTAAGGGTAATTTAAATTTTAAACAATGTTTAAAATGAATTTAGCGAAAGAATATTTTTAACTGCTTGAAAGAACCGGGACTCGCTGAAGACGTCCGTAGGACGTGCTTTAGACTTCCTTTAACGTCGTCAGTAGGACGGCTCTTTAAGTCCCCGTTAAACAGACGAAAAGCGCTTTATTTGGTACGTCTGGAGGACGTCTTTAGGTTGTCCCGTGAAACGTCCTAAGGACCAAAATGGACCTATTGCGGACGTCCTACGGACGTCGCTTTGGTATTATGAAAGAAACAAAAAAGAAACAACAACATCATAATAAATACAGTGAATATATATATATATATATATATATATATATATATATATATATATATATATATATATATATATATATATATATATATATATATATATATATATATATGTATATATATATATAAAACAATTTAAAACACCTCACTAATAAAAATTTAGATACAATAATAAAGCCTAATAGAGTAACAATAAAAGCAAAGAAATGTAGTCTAATTTTTAAAAAACAAAATACGCTTGAGTTTTATTAAAAGAACAAACATCTATATATATGAAGTCAAATAAAAAAAATTAAATGATGCCACACTAACGTTTTAGTGAAGCGGTAGCGTTGTAGTTATTGTAATGACGTTTGACATTGTGTTAGTGTAATGATGTCATTTTTAACAAAACGATATATTAATTTAAAAATTGTTTATAAAAGTTGGACTTTCCCGGTTAACAAAGGTGACTAAAAAAATAATAGACTAAAAAAGCAACTATTTAGATTGGAATTTAAATTTAAATTACAATTTTTGTTGTTGTTTGATTGCTGCATTAAAAACGATTGGCAATGTCTTCAAATGGATAAAAGTTTTTGTGTTATTTAATTTATCTAACCAGCTACCCTTGATTGGGGCTGGCTCACTTGTTTGTGATTAAATTGAAAATATTTTCTCACCTAAGTGGAATCCCGTTGGATTAGAAAAATATCAGTTATCCGAGCTAGCACGATTGTCTTGTAAACATGTTTTATAATTACAAGTTTTTATAATTAAATATTAAACATGGAGAAATTTTTTATATAAACAGCACATAATTTAAAATTTATTAATTGTAGTATTTCTGTTACTTCTACTGCAAAAACAAAAAAACAAAAAAATGTTACAAACGCTACTCAAAACAACATGTATACCGTATCCTTGTTTTGTATGAATAAAGTTGTATTATTTCCTAAAATAAAATTATTATAGTTTTATGTATTCATATAGTAGTCAGGTATATATATATATATATATATAGTAATCAGGTATTCATATCTTAGTCAGGTATTTATATAATGACCAGCTATTTTTATTGTAGTGTTTTTATTGTAGACAGGTATTCTTAAAATTTAGTGGTATTACAATAAAATAAGTTTTCTTATTGTATTGAGGCAATACTTGTAGAATTACTTTACTTAATTTAGAATTTTGTTATTTGTATGAAGAATTTAAAATACACAAGCATAAAGCAACTTTTCTACATTAAAAAGTATTCACAAAGAAACAAAATCTTTAAGAAATCATCATATCAGGACATTAACCAGTCAATACCATTTTCTAAGATATAGAGTGATTGATTGTGATTCAGGTGAAACAAAATTTAAGGATCGCCGTCTCTAAACAAAGACATATATAAATTTGATAGTCGTACAGAAATTAATAAATAAAGTTTATGTGATTATTATTAGATACCAAGTTTATTTTTAACTAATAAGTAGCATTACTACAGTATTGCAGACAGTATTGAATGTAAAAATGAAACTAATTAAAATGACAATTTTTGATTAATAACTTTTAAATGAAAATTGACCATGAATTTTAAGTTGTCATTGTAACCTGATATAACTTACAAAAATACTACTACAAAACTACTAAAAAAATTACAAGTTATTGTTAATGCCTTTTATGTCGTAGAAAATTTTTACCATAAAATAACAGATCTATTATTAAATAAATAAAAAATAAAAAATTAAGATTGCACAAAGTTTTTATGAAAAGTTGTCGATAAATAATAAACTTAGGTTTTCCATATTTAGTATTTAAAATTAAAGTTTAGTAAGATCATTGGTCTGATGAATCAAGCTCTCTTATAAGTAAATACAATTCATCTAAAAATAATGATTATTGTTTTATTAACTAATAATTTTCATTTTTAATTAACTTTTAATAAATATTACACAGGTGCAAATCCATCAATTTTTAGTGTGAGACTTTATAGGGAGTTTTCACACAACTAATAAAAGTTAAAAAAAATATATTTTGCAAAAACTTACGTGAAGATCAAAGAACCCTAACAAGTAAAGTTAAAAAAAATAGCATAATAAAACTTTAACAAAAGATATGAAAATGTTGCATATATATATATGAACGTAATGCTAACATTTACCAGAATTTAACTTTTATGTATAAATATACTAATAGCCTAACTCTAGCTAATTTTATTTCCACGTGTGACTAAAATCCTTATGGAAAGTAGTTTTTCATAAAAATTTAAAAGAATTCATTTACACTCCCAAAAAAACTAATTAAATATAAAAAATACTCAATAGTATATAAATACTTGAAATTCATTTTAATAAATTTTAAAATTCATTTTAATAAGGACAATGCAAATGCAAAAGAAACATTAAACTTGTTTAAGTTTTAGACAAAAATACGCATTTTTTATTTAGTTCTTTGTGCATTTATGATGAACAGCATAAAGAACTTACGGGTGAGTGTTTACTCACCAATAAGTTCTTTATGTATTTTTTTGTTCTGTTAAAATCTTTAATTTAGTGTGAGCTCAGTAACTAATAAGTTACTCTTACTATAATACTGTCTTTATATATATCTATCTTACTATAATACTATAATACTATCTTTACCATCACTATCTTTAGCATTTTTTTTAGATATAATGTTTTTACTGATGCATTTCCGAAATATCTTACCTAAGGTTTTAAAGTAATTTGTACAAAAAGTACACATTAAGTCTCCTTTTAACTACTTCAAGTAAAGTCAGATTCAGGATTATCATGATCACTCTTCTAATGATATCATGTCACCCAATACTACTTGCCTCTCGCTCTGTGTCATTGCAGAGTTAGCTATTTTAAACAAAGGCTAAGAGAAGCAAACTTTAACTTAAAATTCCCCTGATTGGGAACTCTTGGATGAGTAAAAGCTAGAGATGGAAACTTGATAAATGTACTCATTTTGGGCAATTTTTAACTTCATTCAGCTAATGTCTTGTAAAAAGTCTCCTAGACAAAATATTATTAGGTTATAAGAATAATTCACATAACAAGGTACAAATATCTTTTTAATTTATTAAGCTGCCGTAGACCCACAATTGTGTTACATAGCTTTCTGCTTAGGATAAATAACGCTGGATTTTTTTGACTCACTTATTGGTTTTTGTTGGTGCGTTTTGATAATGGCTATGTAACTCTTCCTTTTATATTAGAGTAAAAGTACAAATCTAAAACTCTGATTAATGGTTTTTAGGCTGGCTAAAAGTAAGGTTTCCAAATATTTGTGATAGCTCTATGAGAGGTTGATTTCATCTGCAGCTGTGAAATACTAAAAGTGCCGTTTTGCACATTTATTGCGTCTCTGTTAATGGTTTTGGTACACGTATTTAAGGCCACATAAAAAATTCTAATTTACTACTTTAGTTAAATTACCAAAACAGAGACAATTTCATATCTCATAGCATAGAAAGCCAAACACTATCTATGAATTAGTCTTGTTCTCTTTTTACTCAATATATGCCAAAAGTAACCCAAAGTAATCAATATAAAAAGCCGCTGCCACCACCGTGCTGTTTTAATATATCTTTTATAAATACTTGTTGTCTGCAATGCAACTTTTCATCAGTTGAACCTTACCTTTTGCAACTCAACAGACGTAGTTTATTTTAGTAATTCTAAATTAAATCCCGCAACTCAAGATCAGATCTCAAATTTGATGGGTTAAATCTTTTAATTTGCAACGTCAGATAATGTGCTTCTGCTCTTTCTTTAAATAGCGATTCTTCACTCTTATCACTTTTTTCTTTGACCGTTATTATTCTTCTTTTTTCAAAACTGCATTCTTTTTTTATTGATGGTGATATTTCATCATTCATAAAAATAGAATGCAGTCTAACATCGTTTGGCTATTGTAGTCTTTGCAAAAAAAGAATGCAGATGTTATTTCTCATCTCTACAAATATTCTAATCATTGACGACTTGGCTCTAACACCACTGACTCTGCTTGCACTAAACTCTATACCTTCTGCTTTTCTCAATCTCTTACTCAGATTGTTAATTTTGTTATTCGTTTAATTGATAACCCTTATCATTTACATTCACTCATTGGTTTATATCTGGTCTCCAGTGCCAGCTTGATTGTAGTTTTATCTTTTTTTTCTTTAAGTGGTCCTGACCATGTAATGATCTTTTTAAATCTTTCATCTAGTAATTTTTTTCGGACTCACCGTATTATCTCATTACTTAATACTGCCCTAAAGATTCTTTTCGATTTTCTTCCTGAGGGTCCATGGATAGATGTCTTTTTCTATTGAGCAGAAAAATGCGCCTCACATATAGTTTTTTAGGTTCAAGAATGAAATGAAGCTTATGTTCCTTCTCGTTGGTCCTAAGTCCAGCCTTGTAATACTCCACGAATTCCACCTTTTTGTGCAGCTGCTATATCTAATCGTAATCATTTTCTTGATCAATCTTAAAACAATAACTCCTTTGAAAATAAATCTTAAATTTTTGTTGCAGGAAATTAAAGTAAAAAGGTTCTGTCTGATGCTAAACACCATTATTCTCAGTTAACTTCATCCGTATCTTATCGCATAAGTATTAATCCAGAAATCTTTGAAAATACTTGAACTTTTTCATTAACAATCGTAGGTATAACATTTTATCTTTCATTCATGGATATAATCTTATCATTTATTTCTTGAATATCTGCAATGAAACTTTTTGGTTGAATTATCTGCAATAAAATTTTTTTAAATTTGAGTCTTGAATATTATGGTCATTCTTTTCCATCCATCCTAAACAAATAAGCTAACAAACTGTTTTACATTTAAATCACTCAAACCTTTGTTGCTAAAGTCATATTTCAGTTATTTTCTATTATACATATCTGATTTAATCTCTTCTATGCTCAAGAAAAAGTTCCTGCCACAGTCCTACAACAGAGCGAGTCATAGAGTGTTTTTTAAAACACTCTATGACTCACTCTAAACTGTTTAATAAGTTTTTGATTGTGTCTTGATTTCTGCATGCTGGGAAAGAACATCTTTTGTTTCAATTTTTAAAAACTTTAGAGAATGTCCAGACACCTCTAATATTCATATTTATTGCTTAACATTATCGTTTAATAATCATCAGTAATTCTCGATGGTAAATAACTGGCTAAATAAACCCAAGCTGACATGCTGTGAATAATTGATTTTGACAATCTAGATAGGTATGTAAATAATGTGATTAAAATGTGAATAAAAAAGTTTAAATTTAGATAGATATGTGAATAAAGAATTGAAATAACGGCAAAGTGGCTAAAGCTATTGCTCTTTGCGCACGTAAAACTTTTAAAAAAGATTGTTTTGCTTGACTTTTCTATACACTTGCTTTATATAATATATCTGGAAACATTTTTTATAGTATGAATTATTAGAATTCTTGGTCCTGTTTTGTTTTGTACCTACATTAATAATCTTTCTACCGCCTTATCAAAAGTAGCTGTTTTTGCTAATGACTAAACTTTGTACTCATGTCTTGGCATAAAGTCTTCTCTTTTTGATTGCTTAGAAGAAGTCTATCTTGAATCTGATCTCATTTCTATAACAGATTGAAGCATGCAGTAGCCTTTAAATTTTAACTCTAACAAAACTCAGCTATTCTCTGCAAATAACTATTCTAATACTGTTGACATTTTATATAACAATAAGGAGCAACCTTTTCACTGAGTCTACTTCTTTACGTCTTTCTGAATTTGTTCACAAATGACTTTTCATGAAAACCATTCCCGACGGGCATTTTTTTTTTAAAGTTACGATCTAAATGTATTTAAAATGTCTTTTAAACGTCTTTTAAATATTAATGTTTAAAAGACGTTTAAAAGACATTTAAAACACATTTAGAACGTAACTTTAATTAAAAAATGCCTGTCGGGTTTATGCAATCGTTTGCTTAATAGGTTTTGTTAAAGTTGCTTCTCTTCGACGTGTTTGCTACTTTTTTATTAGTGATACCATAGTCTACCCGTACAAATTTCTTATTTGTCCCTCTACTTAATATTGTTGTCAATTTTAGGCTGGTTCTTCTAATTATACTCTTTCTCTTTTAGTCAAACTCCAAATATGCATAATAAACGTAGTTGGACCCGTTCTAATTTCCAAGGTGAAACCACTTTACAATTGTCATCAAGTTGAATTTATTTCTATTTTTAAAATATACTATCATGCTTAATGCTCAAAAGATTTATCGTCTTTAGTTCCATCAACTCAAACTCATTCTCGCTTTCCTCGTCATTCAGCAGTCATTTTATTTTTTGATTGTATCTGTCCTTGCATGCTCTAAAAACATTTTTTTTTTAAGTTTCTTTTCTCGCTCTTTAACCCTTTGAAAATATCTCACTCACACAACCTACTTACTGATTCATACAACCTTCTACTTTATAAGTTGTATTTCAACCGTTTTCTTGATCTAAAACCTTTTTCTTTTTTTTTTTTCTAGAATTTCTCAACTTAATAGTGGCTGCCTGCCGCCATGTAGAGAGTAAATCAAAATTCGAAAAACTGTCGGTATATTATTTTAAATTTTCGAAAATTTAAATTTAAATAATAGTTATTAGAAGATATCTTTGTAATAATTTAAAAATCTAACTTCTTATTGTATTTGGAGTTTACTATATAAGTAATATTTTTTATGATTTTTTTCTAAATGTTGTGTCAATATTCTTTTTAGGTGCAGAATGAAAAGATTAAAGTGGCTTTGCATCACTTATACCTTCCTAAAGTTCAGGTCTGCTTTTAAAAAATTATTCAAAATTATATTAAATAAATCTTTTATGAAATATTTTAAACCACGGAATTTTGAAATTATCATAATTCAATCTAAGTATTACTTAGTTAATATTCATAAACAGGTTTTAAGTTTACATACGTTTAATGCATTGAAAACGATGTTTCGGAAAAAAAAAATGGTGTCGATTTAATTTATTTTAAATGGCAACGACTTATATTTTTAGATAAAATTATAAAAGATTTGACGAAATTATTTACAAACAATATTCATCCAGTAATAATATGTTTTGCAGATCAGAACTGAGAACATTTTTATTGGAAATCAGGCTTGCCCGTTAAGGGGGAAACTCCCCCTAAAATCATCAAAAAAACAAAAATTTAGTATGACCGTTTTTAGACATAAAAATTACCATGATTTCATTTATGTAATTTGTTTTTCATAAAAATCATTCTAAAGTGAAGAAATTTTAGGTTTTTTAATGGTGAGTTGATGTTTCAATATATCTAAAGTGTAATTTTTTTGTCGTAATGGAAAAAAAAAAAAAAAAAAAAAAAGCTGATATAAAATGCCTTACTTGGGTTAGAATGCTTCATTCTATTATACTTCTTGTTCAGCTAAGCAAAAGTAAGCGAGATTAGGAGACAAAACGCACTCAAATTAATTTAACTTAATTTAACAAGAATGCCAAAAAGTTGAAGAGTAAAACGTCGAACTAATCTTGCTAGGAAAAGGTGTAGATCTTTTCCAGTTAAAAAATCATTAATTTATGAAGAAGAAGTTGTTGATAGTGTAAATAAAAAATCTACTCCAATTGTAAATATTTTAATTAATAATGACACTGTGATTCACTGTCTGCGTGATGAAAATAAAAATGACGCTTCTGATAATATCGTAAATATTCCAGCATCACATTCAAAAGTACGACAAATTGATGTAGTTGAAACCTCTACTCTACTGTCTGGATATAGAATTATAGATATAGAAGTGTTTTCTGTTATTTTTAAAGAACTCATTTGTCCAATGTGCTTCAATAAAGACTCTCTTGTGTTGTCTGACAAGTTAAAAAATCGACATGGACTTGCCTTTTTTAGTTTTAAAATGCTCAGATTGTTTATTTCGTAAAAATTTTTGTACTTCAAAAAAGAGTGGTAAGCAGAGATTCGACATAATAAGCGAGCTATTTACACAATGCGGTCGTTGGGTCATGGTCACGCAGGACTTGAAAAATTCACTTCTTTAATGAATATTCCTCCGCCAATGACTAGAAATAACTACGACAAGCTTGCTAAAACAATCTTTAAAGTTGTGAAAAAAGTAGCAATAGAAACTATGTGTGATGCTGCTGGGGAAATCAGACACAATTCGAATACTGATATTGTTGATACTGGCATTTCATGTGATGGGACATAGCAACGACGAGGTTTTTCATCATATAATGGCGTAATGACTGCAATATCTATTGATAGTGGAAAGATATAGGACGTAGAACCAATGAGTAGAATTTGTAAAGCTTGTATTTTAATGGAACCAAAAAAGAAAAGTGAACCTTTACATTTTGCTGAGTGGAGAAATGTACATAAGTGTGCATATGACTACAAAGGGTCTGCTGGTGGTATGGAGCTAATTAGTATGAAAAAAAATATTTGAACGTTTTATTACAGAACGCAAGCTTCGACATGTTAACTATTTAGGTGATGGGGGCAGTAAGAGCTATTTAAATGTTATGAATGTCTACCCTGGTTCAAAAGTAAAAAAACTTGAGTGTGTTGGACATTATCAAAAACGTATTGGTACAAGATTAAGAAAGTTGAAGAAAAAAACTAAAAACCTTGGTGGTAGAGGTAAATTAATAGATACGACAATTGATCGGTTGCAAAGTTATTTTGGTATTGCGATCAGAGCTAATGTAGGAGATTTAGCATCTATGAAAGCTGGTACTCTGGCATCGCTTTATCATGTTGCCTCCAATAAGGAGAATAATCTACATTTTCCACATTGCCCAGTAGGAGCTGATAGTTGGTGCAAATATAGTTCAGATAAAGCCATTGGAAAAAATACTTATAAACCTGGACCAGGTTTACCAACTTCTATTGTTTATAAAATCAAACCAATCTTTGCAGAACTCAGAGCTGACCAATATTTGGAAAAGTACTTACATGGTAAGACACAAAATACTAATGAAAGTTTTAATTGTACTATCTGGGAGCGTTTACCTAAAACAAAATTTGTATCATTTAGTCAATTAGAATTTGGAGTTTATGATGCAGTAGTTAATTTTAACATTGATCGAAAAGCCTCAATTTTAGTTTATGAATCTTTGGACATAATTCCAAGAGTATATACTCTTGAAGGTTGTAAAAATTTAAACTATAAACGACTGTTACATTCTAAGTACAGAAATATTGATAAAAACAAATTGCGACGAAAAATAATTTGTGCCAAAAAACATAACAAAATTGATAAAGAAAAAGTAAAAGAAGGAAGATTTTATAAAGCAGGAGGTTTCTAATACTTTTTATTAGATATTTTAACTATAATATATGTTTTACTTAAAGTTTTAAAGTTTTATGTGCTAATTTTCGCGTTTTTTCTCGCCGGCCGTTCTACCTCAAAAACCGTTTTACCAGTTTTGATGAAGTTTTCTGGAGTTGTTTTTTAAATAGAGGTTTAGATTTTTTTTACTTTTGATATTTTGAATAAAAAATATTTTCACCATCTTTAAATGTGCACACATCGCTCAGATTTTTAGTTACAGGAAAATGCCGCTATTAAAACACCCTTTGACCTTTTGTAAAGCATTTGGTAAAAGCTTTTTAAGAAATCTTGCATGGTTATTTAGTTTTTACGGCTGGTGTGAATGCATGTTTTGCCCTTTTTTATGTGTTTTTTGTGGTAACTATGGCAATCAAAAACCATTTTGTACTTTTTTTTGAAGGATTTTGTTTATTCATATTATATTGATGTTTTATATTCCCCCTTAAATATAATGACTAAAAAAATATTAACATTAAAAAAAAAAATAATTTTTCTTTACTACAACTCAAAAGACTAATTAGTAAGGTTTACAAGCTATTCTCATCCATAACTAAATCTTTATTCTAAATATGTTTTATATAATACAAATAATTATAAAAACACATTATCTTGCCGAGAAAGTTTAAGTTAAATTTTTTACATTTTTATTTTATTGAAAAAGTTAAATTACTAGAACCTAAATATACTCTCCTAAATATATGTGTGATAATTAATATAGTTAAAATTGAAAACTGTCACGGTATAATAACTAATTTCTTTTCATAGTTAAATTTTACTTAAACTGTTTTGAAAATGGAATATTTAAAAAAGCACTTACGTTAATAAATTAAAATCAATATTAAAAGTTGCATTCGTTTTCAGTTTTTTGTAAAGGTTGGCTATCTAAACGAATAAAATATATATTATTTGCAGTTATAGGTACTGAACCCTACACCAAAAAAGGTCGCGCAAAAAATTATCTGAGGTTTAACAATGGAAAAAACAAGACTGGTCGTACATATCCCGCCGTCGTATAGTGACTCAAAACAACAAAAAAATGGTATTAAAAGCCTAACAAGCTTTTTGTAAACTGTAAAAGTGCCTTTAATAAAAATAATCTTTTGACTTTATATACTTCTAATAAATTAGAGAAACACAGTCTTTGATCAAATATAATAAAAATAATAATGCTTTTATATATACATACATATATATATATATATATATATATATATATATATATATATATATATATATATATATATATATATATATATATATATATGTATATATATATATATATATATATATTTTGAACATATATATATATATATATATATATATATATATATATATATATATATATATATATATATATATTTCGAACATCGAATCAGCAATAAATTTGTTAAAATTTTAATAAAAATCACAACAATTTTTATTCTTGACATGTTCTCTAGTCTTACTACATTTTCAAATGATTTAATTTACAACTAATACTCCGGTAAATAAATTTAAAAACTGAAGACAATACAGAGAAAAAATTAACGGACAAATAAACTTGTTAGAAACCAAATAAAATTTATATCACAAATAGTATGACAAAATGAACTTCCTAATATTAAAATAATAATAATAATAATAATAATAATAATAATAACAATAATAATAATAATAATAGTAATAATATAGTAAGTTAGATAAATAAGTTTATAATATAATGAGATATTTGTTTAATTAAAGAAGGATTTTCCCATTTAATATAAAGTGCTTCATTTATTTTTGAATTGTTAATGGTTGAGGCAGTATCCAAAATCTGAAAGCAATCATAATTAGTTAGTTTTTTTACAATTGATGGATGAATTTAAATGTTAAAAATATGCGATTGCTTGTCACTCGTTAGATGCTCATTTATCCTTGTTGTCAAATGTCTGGAGGTTTCTCCAATATAACTGGCGCTACAGCCAGCACAAGAAAATTTGTAGACAACGTTAGATTTAAGCATTTTAGGAAGTGGATCTTTTATGCAAAAACTGTTTTTTGATTTATCGGTTGTGAATATAAATTTGATTATTTCGTTTTTACAATACCTTTTAAAAATTTTATCAATTTTAGTTGTAGTGAAATTTGAGTAAAATCCAATAAATGGAAGCTTAAATATCTTATATTAGTATTATCAACAGTATTCATAACAGGTGGATTAATTTTCTTTTCAACATATAATATAATTTCAGTGTCGATAACTTTTTGTGGAAATTGTTTTTTTTTTAAAACTAAAGAAAAATTTTTTATATCCTTATCAAATCCAAAGCACGAGTTGTTAATTTTATATGTTCGATCAATGAAGCAACGTATAAGACCAGTTTTGTAACATAAAGGGACAAAACAAAAGAAATTTTGAAAAAGACCCGTTTATGTTTTTTTGTGATAAGCTGATGTAGAGAGTGAATTAGACTTATAATAAGAACATCCAAAAATGGAATTTGGTTGTCTTTGACTTTTTCCATAGTAAATCTAAAGTTTTTGTGTTGTTTGATGAGATGTTTTAAGAACTCTTGCGCTTTAAACTCTGAATTAAAAATTGCTATTATGTCATCCACAAAACGTTTATAAAAAATTGGTATGGAGGATGAGCAATTATTAACCCACGTTCGTTCATGAAAACCGATAAACATATTAGCTAAAATTAGCGCTAAAGGAGAACCCATTGCAACGCCATCTAATTGATCATAAACTTTTCCGTTAAATAAGAAATGAGAACCTGACGTTGAAATTTGAAGTAATTTTTTGAAATGCGTTTTAGAAAAATATTTTGAGCGAGTTTCATCTTTAAAAAATAATTCTGTTGCTATATTTATAGTTTCATTAAGTGGAATGTTAGTAAATTAGCTTTCAACATCATAAAAAACTATAAACTTATTAGTTACGTCAACTTGTTTTAAATCTTCAACGAATAAAAATGAGTCAAAAGTGGTATAATGTTTTGGTAAATATGGAGAAAATAAGTCTGAAAGATGTTTAGCAAGTTTATAATTATATGCGCCAATTGTTGAAATAATTGGTCGAAAAGATGGTAGAGAAGAATCTTTACTAAGTTTATGCATCTTAGGTAGAGCATAAATTCTTGCTGGCTGTGAACCAACAGGTTAAATTTTATTGTAAATGTCTTTTTCAAAACATTTAAGTTTTTTAAGTTTTCTAAGATACCCTTGTAAAGATACTTCTCTTTTTTGTAGTTGGATCATCTTTTAATTCTTTAAAATTAGTTTTATCACTTATAATATTATTTAATAGAATTTATATAGTCAATTTTATTTAGAACAATTATACCATTCCCTTTGTCTGGTCTTGTTATTACGATGTTTTCATTCTTCCTTCAGTCTTTTTATTATTTTGTGTTTTCTCAGACAACTTTCAGACGGCGTGTATTTGTAAACATAATTATTTGCTAAATGTGAAAGCTCACTTTTAACTTGAGGTTTAGAATTCTTGTTTCTAAGTTGGGTGTTGAGAAATTGTGCAATGCTATCAAGTTGAGCAAAAACGTCCGTCTTTTTTA